TGGGGAGCACAGCCAGGACCACTGATGAAGTACACAGCTGATCAATGGGTGGGTCAGGAGAGGTCTGCTGCACCATATGGGTCACCTCCAGGGTGGGGATTGAACTCATGCGGAAGGGGCTTTAGCTTCTTTGTGTTGTGCTTTAACCTGATGCACCACCAGAGAGATCTGAAATAATAATTTTAAGACAGCAGTATAATATTCCGTTTTCAGTCTTGGTGTGATAATACTTTAGGTTCAGGAGGGAGTATAGGATAGAACGACCCCATATCAGACCACCGATTTAAATGAAAATAAAATATGAAGTGTATTATGGTATCCACCATCTATATTTGTCTTTCTTGCTCTTTTTGAATATTTTACACAGTCCAAAGAAGTTTGTGAGCAAAACCAAGATTTCTCAATGATTGATTTCTTTCTACCAAATGGTCTCTATCAGAACTTTCAGCAACTGAAGTATTACAAGCAGTTTTGTGTATATTCTTTGCCACTAGATTCTCTACAAATCAAACACATTCTTGAAGCTAAAAAGAAATAAGAAGGAAGGAAAATGTGACAAGATGGGGAAACCATCTGTTTCATCGCAGGAATTGAACTTGACACCCTATCAGAGATAACTTATTTATGGAAATGACTCAAATTTTCAAGTAACTTTTTTGTCCCAACTTTAACTACTGGGTTACTGCTAATTCACCCCTTGTAGAACTCTGTCCCTTTAACCTCTCTTCCACAAGGAACACAAACATTCAATAAGCATGTACAATAAATTAGCAGAATTTGTAAAATCCTCAATGCAAATATTTTTAGAGTGATTTAACTATGATATGTCAGAGTACCCTGTTCCCAGAGACATTTAAAAAGACAAATATTAGTAAGAACCTTTACAAACTGACTTGATCAGTTTGTAAATGTTATCTGGAATTCTGAAGCATTTTGACAATTGTCTCTTGGTTTTAACTTTTTAATATTAAAACAGCTGGATTAACACTTCATTTTTCCCTCTCAAGAATTATTATACAAGCTCTTTAATTATGTTGTCAGTAAACCAAGAACCTTATATTATCTATCTCATAGATAAATAACATAAATTTTCTTTTAGAAATTATAATGAACAGACATTTCCCTATGTTGTGAATACTTCTGCCCCTTAGAATCTAAAAATCTATACTAAAAAATGAGCGCAAAAATCAGCTTTAAATTAACTGTGATTCTGTGTGCCTGGTTTGAAAGTATCTTAATAAAGTGCCATAGCATTTGATTCTTATTATTTTACTTAGTGACCATTAAATGGATTTTTCAAACCGTTGAATAGCTTTCAGGGAACCAAGGTTTTTATTTTCAGAAGCAAATTGCTTTCTCTCTCTTTAACAGACACTCTTCCAATTAAAAAGGCAAATAAAACCATCAGGATGAACATTCAGAAGCAAAGGGAAAATTATTGCAAAATTGCTATTTATTAAAATAGGCAATTATACTTTAGCTGACTTTCTAAAAGCACAGCTAACATACTACCTGTAAAACTACAGGGGAAAGAACTCACTTAATCCCTAGTCCTAAAGACAGTTAGTCTCCCCATTTTACAATTGAGAAAACTTTAGCTAAAGAACTGCAGTAAATTGTGGAACTCAACCACCAGTTCAGTCCTTCTGAGTTCTGGTTCCATATTCCTTTGTGACTATGCTATGTCCCTCTTTATGTGACCCACAAATACAGATGAAGCTGCCAGAGTGTGGAACATTGGGATACATAGTCAAATCCGTGAACCAAATTCCAAAAATTGAAATTTCATTGCCTACATCTTGGATATTTTATTCTATTGAAACTTTTTCCCTTGCGTTACAATGTGGTTCTTCTCAGGATGGTTGGCAAGAGTGTTATTTGAAGTCACCAGTAGAGTTGCACAGAGCCAGGGGAAGAAAATCTGCCTTATATCAACATGCCTGCTTCCTAGACTTTGTTTGACAGTATTTACTTGTAAATGACCTCTGCCTGAAATATACCAGATGCCATCCAAGGACAAAAAACTGAACATTGAGCATGGTTGCTCCACTTAGCTCCAAGCTGGTTCTAAGCAGTGGCCCTCGTCCCTCAGAGACACATGAGACCCTTTCACCCATTTCCACTAAGCCAAACCTCTTACTCTAGCTGACTCTCCTTAATTGTTCATTTTTTTATGGTTTTCATCATGTCTATGAATGTGACCTGTCATTTGAATTAGAGACCTTTCTTCATCTTAATAAATTTCAAAATCCGTCTTCTTTGGTATTGCTGCATAGAAAAGTAGCCCAGTTCTGAGTGTAAAACTTCTACTAGCAGTTTATCATATCTTACTGTTTCAGGCGGAGAATCTGCTAGACCTGGGTGTGTGATTTGGTGACACGTGACACTGACTGGGGATGTGAGTCTTGTTAATGTGTGGAATGGTCTGCAGGCACATGATGGTTTTACTGAAATGCCTGACACCTTAAAGAAGACAGTGTGACAGGGTTCAGCTGTGTCATTCTATCTTTCCAGATGGCCTCAAAGTCTCTTAGAGCTCTCCAACCAGAGAGTCCAACTTCTTACAGGGATACTAGAGGCTCCAAGAAGAATTATTCCAGGGACCTTAGACAGGAAGCCAAAGTCGTATCTATATCTTTTGCAATCTTTTTCACAATTATAATTAAATGATCTTGATTTATTTTTCAATGCCTATTCCACTCATATTTTAAGGTCATTGAATAAAAATCATGTTTGATGTGATTCTGTTATATAAAGTATTTATCAGTATCTGGCACACAGTAGTATTTGATGAATGTAGGAATAAATCAATAGAAACGCTTTTAACATTAGTGGTAGAAAGTCTTAGCTATGGATTGCTCTTTGAACAAGGTCATTTTCAAGATACTATGAGCCATTTGTTTTTTTATGATGGAGAGATTGCCATCTGTTACGGACCTAGTATATGCCAGTTTTTTTTTCAAAAGTATGTATTGCTAACAATAACCCATGAAGATAGATATTATTTTCCATTTTATAAATAAGAAAATGGAGTCAAGAAGTTTAACTATTTTAAAATAATACAGTTACTCAAATGAACAGATCTGGAACTGAATATAAGATGCGACCTGAACATAAAATAGTGGGTTTGTATAGAGATGGGCTTTAACATTATATAACTCCAAGTCAGGGGCTCACTTTCTTTACCCCCAACGGTCCTTTGGGTCCATAGATTCTTAAAGTTTTTGAGTGTTCCCTTTGCTTTTTGAGAAAGGAACAGGGAAGTGTCATTGGTGGATATGCCCCAAGACAGTTTCAGCAGTGGATCCATATCTAGAGCGGTCAGGAAGAACCTCGATGACTTATCTGTTTCACCCATCTGGTAATTAGTGGTCAACAGGCACTGTGTCAGCTCCTCCACGTTCACTGGCATAGTTACCCACAGCACCAAATATCAACAGTCATTCTCATCCACAAAGTCATTCCATGGAAATTTCTCTATTCTTTCAAAAAAAGCAAAGTGATGCCTTTCTCCAACCATTGTTACATTGAACAAATCTTTACTTTTTATTCTGTACAGAATGGTATGGGTGCCATCATCGCAACTATGTTGTGAAATGGTTTAGATTAAAATAGAGGAAAATGATGTTCCTGGGATAGAATGTTTTCTAATAACTATATCTTTGTGGAAAAAAGATTCTAATTTGGATTTGATTCAGTGCATAAACAAATGAGTATTTTATGAAGTCCCAAAACAATAAACAATATTTTAAGAAGTTCAAAATGTTACTTTTTTTCTTTATACATACAGAACTGGGATACAGGCCAGAGGTGCAGGGGTGATGAGAGGATTCACCAGAGACAGAGTGGGGAGCAGAACAGGCTGTACACTGCTGAGGGGAGCAGCGGGTGAAACAGGAGAGGTCTGCAGCGCCATGTGGGTCATCTCTGGGCTGGGCCAGCTTGCAAGCAGCTGTGGCCAGCTTGCAGTGCTGCATCCTAACCCATTGCACCATCAGGGAGGGCTCAAAAAATGTAATTTTGAAGGAAAAACCAGCCAACAAAGTATAAACTTAGTTATTTGCTTGCGGCCCATCCCAGCCCCACCCTCACCCCAGCATTTATCAATGTAAGATGAATACCCCTGGCCCTTTAGTGGTGACAACTTTGGGTTATAGATTCTTACACTCAAATGGTAAAAAAGCCATCTTCTTTCAGAGCTCCTAAAGTGAAATATGTTCTTGTAAATGCCAAATTCTAGGAATATATTTTTAAATCTCCGTGTGGGTTGTAAGTAGAAAAAATTTCCTCAGCCAATGTGGGGTTTCTTCTTGTCCCCTCAATAAAAGATATGTCAAGTGAAGATGACAAATTGGGATACCACATGGTACATCATAATAACGCAGTACTTTTTCCACATTAAATTTTGCAAAAGGTTGCAGATGAGTCATAGCACAAAGTTCTGCAAAAGCCACCTCATCTCTCTCTATTGCACCTCGATTCTTTTCAGCAAGACTTCTCTGTCAGGAACCCTGGCTTTTTCTTCAAAGGAACTGTCGGTTGTTTTAATGTCTCTACAATGCACAGAAACGATGCTGACTTTTCAGACAGAAAGCCAAGAGCATTCATCTCCTGCCTTGCTTTACTCGTTTACCAATATCTGCATAGACCCACTCCTAAGAAAGCCCTTCCAAATTACACAAATTGCAAAAAAAAAAAAAAATCTAACACCATGCCCAGGACATCATTTGATTCTTGGCCAAAATAAAGAGAGGTCCTGGGTGGGGTGTGGGGAGGGCACCTCTCCCTCAATAACAGGAAAGGTTTGTTGAAATCATTTTTGTAAGTAAACACAATAATGCAAAATGAAGCATCAGCATTTAGACCCCCCATTTGTCTTACATATAAAACAAAATCAATGACTTTGCGACATCAGAAATCATCTATAATCATATAAAAACTAAAATCAGCATTCCATCAACTCAGCTTTCATATGAACAATGATCCCAGAGCACTGGTACCTGTGACTTTCAGGAGTGGAAATAGTGTGTGCTGATTCTCTCCCCAGTGTCCTTCCGAAAAACCAAGGCAGTTGCAGTGGCAGTGAGCAGTGTGGAGTCTCAATGGACAAGTTCAGATTTGTTGGTTTGCAACCCTGGCAGCTCTGGAGGTGAAATCTGAAACTGACCTCCATGTGGGGAGGGCAAGGGCAGGCGGAAGAAAGAGGCAGTTCACTCCAGGTATGTGGGAGGAAGGTCTCATAGCAATGGGGTTTCGGAGGGTTGCCTTTGGCCACCCCAAGGTGAGAATACCTCCGCACTGGCTGGCAGAATCTTCAAGGCCTTCTCAGGGTTCAGTCTCGGAAGCAGTGGGATGCTTAGTCTGTTAAGTTCTGTCCCCTGAAATCTTGCGGCTACAAGAATGATGGGCAGAAAGGCCATCCCACTGCCAGGTGAGCAGGTCAGGTCGCAGACATCTCCTTTCAGTACTTCTTCCTGCAGGGTCGTTACAAGGGGAAAAGAAAGAAAGGAAGAAGGAGGGCGAAAAAGAGGGAAAAAGGGAGGGAGGGATAGACCTATTTATCCTGTTGACATGACAAACTCAGAACACAAAGCAAGCAAAATACAAATCACGAAGCAAAATACAAATCATGTTCCAGCCATTTGCTCTGAAGTATTAAGAGCTTTTCTTTTCTTTTCTAAGGAGAATAACCAGGTTGATGATAGGATTAAAATACCATCAGGTTGTAAAAGCCAAATATAAAGTTAGATGAGTCATTTGCAACCAAAATTGCCCTTTACTAGGTACACAGAAAAGAGTTGTGTTAATTATTCTGCCATACTATAAAAACAAAGAAATATCACTTGATATCTACAGACAAAGATGAGTTGAAATTCAGGATAGTAACGTCTTTTAACTTTATTTTTTCAGACGTCATTTTCCTTTATTGGAATGCGTAGGATAATGCTACAATATTGATTTTCTATTTTTATAGTATTTAATGCTCTTTTGTTTTTTAAGATGTTCTTGAAAGAAAATAACACATACACCTGTATGTAGTAAGTTCATAAATGTGTATGTAAAGTACTTACATGCATGCCCTGCATATGTGTAAGTAGATATGGATGTGTGCACACATACACTTATGAGTGTTAACAGCAACTGAGATGTCTGGATTCTTTTCTCAGCATAAAATTCAGTACATAATTTAGAAATGTGATGACATTACAGAGAGAAGATTGAGAGAACATGAATGTACTAAATACAAACTAATAACTCAGCCTTTTCTGGCTGTCTAATATCATTGTGCAACACGAAATTATTTTCTCCCTTAAAATAGTTGGTAAGATTAAGAGTGTCATAGTTGCGATCATAGCAACAATAAAACACCAATATCGATGCACTTCAGGTGCTTTGTATAGAGGAAAACAAAACATTCCTTTAAATTCTGACATTTTGAAGCTGAATATTTTATTGAAACTTTTACTCAGTCCTGAGTCTTCAGGGATACCTTATTTATTTAGTGATTAACTCCATGAAACATGAAGCAGACGGATCTATTTAATTTGAGTCCTAGATTTGCTACTGAGCAACTTTATGCCCTTAATTCAGACAGTTCAAGAATCAAGCTGTTTTCTTCATTGTAAAATGCTAACTCTGAGGTTATGCAAAGAATTAGAGACAAAACATACTTGAGTGATTTTGTAGAGAAGACTGCATTAGGAGAGCTTGGTGATAAGCGATCCTGTCCTGTGCCACCTCCTCCTTCTTCATAATCAAGATTATTAGGACTATTATTACACAAGAAGAATGAGTATGGCAATAAAATAATTTGGTGCGAAGACAACAGCAGAGAGATGAAAGATGAGGGGTGAAGCAGGCAGTCTGAACACCTACTTTGTGTGGGAAAAAAAAAAAAAGTGGTATGTCTGAGGGGAATTGAGTTCACTGAGTAATTTCCATTTTACTTGGCATATTTGGTCACAACTCGTGGGACTTTTAAGGCTAAGACTTGCTCTCAAGACTTTACAATGAGGGTGGTTTAAGGAAAATGATTAATAGGCTAAAAGTTACTCGAATCTTAATCAATCATGAGGATATAGAATATAACTTGGATTGGCGTGTGGTATATTTGTAAATTCAGCTGTATTAAGAATGAATTATAATTATCAATTTTTAGAATGAAACAAACATTTGGTTCTAGAATGATTCTGCCAAAATGATACAAACAATGAAAAGATTCCATTATCTCCCTGTTCCTGCTTCCACTTAACAATATCAACCTGCTATTATTAAGTACAAAAAAGTAGATTAGATTTCAAATCTCTCTAAATGCGTTCTATTCATAGATCTAAGCATCCATCACTGAGCCATACTGCAAGATGATTTCATTAAATATAGGGACTCAGGTAAACAGAAACTTGAAATCCTGTGACCTTGAAATTGTTCACTGTTCTCTGTGCCTGCTTCTTTATTATCCTGACAGAAATTAAATTAAGATGGAACACTCCAGTCTAAACTGAGCAATAATGTATGCAATTAAGATCATAAAATCATTTTCAAGGTGATAATGTTTCCCCTTGGGTGGGTTACATATGTACTGAAAAGTGAAACCTTGACTTCTAGGTAGGATTATCAAGTTTGAGGCAAAGAAATAAACCCTAAAACTTGAGTGCACAACCCACAACTTAAAGGTCAAAAGATACATAATCTGGATATATGTAACACTACTTTTCATTGAAGTAATTATGCAGAAGTTAACCTGATAGTCATTTTCACTATTAAATTCACTATTTTTTAATAATATAAGAGATGATTTATTTAAGGGTTGTGCAAAAGCGGTACTACATGATATAATTTTGAAAATGAATGCTGCTTTAAAAGGTTTAGTAAGTTTTGTAGTATTTGTCAAGTTCTATGAAACTATTTTCTAAGTCTATCATCTTTTCTTCTACATTTCCTAATTCTTTAATTATAATTTTTTGGGCAAAATTGCTTAAAAGACTGTCAGAACAAGACAAACACAAACCTTGTTATCAAGACAGAAATTTTACCACATTCCTTTATTTCTGCATGTAAGGAAAATGAATTTTGGGAAAAAATATTAAATGTTGCATGAAACATTTTCTCAATATTTTATTAAAATTGCCCTAAAATTTTCACTTGCAAATATTCCTCACTACCAAATGCTACTTTTTAATAATACTCTCCTCTCACTAATATGATGAAAGTTTTTTGTTTTATATGTTCAGTATTTTGAAAATAGAACTTAAATTCAAAATTTTACAACTCTTGTTTGTGCACAAGTCGTATTTCACTTATGCAGCAGGTACTGAAAACAGTGCTGTTGCGTCGACCACACCACACTGACAAATGGAGCAAGATTTGGGGTGCAGGCTGTTGCTGCAGAGTAAGATCCGGGCCTTTTCATGGTTAGAACAGTCTCACCACCTCAGCTGTGAGGGGAAGGAGGACAAACAGAAAAGGGAGGGGTCAACCTAGAAAACAAGTTTTGTCTTCTGTAGTTTCTGGTCCGTCAGTCTGCCTTCCAGGCACTTCTCAGCTGCTTGATGACTGTTCTTATCATTGAGATCAAGCTCTAGATCCCCAGACTTTCCAATGATCAGCTTCTGGTCTTTCAGGGCCTCAACACCCCCACCCCAAGGCGCACCCAGGTGTTCTGGTCAAACCTCATAATGCACAAAGCCTTCCCAGAGTGGCCAAGCTTTAAGTCCTTGGTTGATTTGAAAGGCACCATGTAAGTTGTAAGGTCTGGCTGCTATGACTGATTAACTCCGGAGTTGGGGGGTGGTGGGGAGGGGGTGTCTGACCTTGTACAGGAATGTCAAACTGCAGAAACAAAAAGAGATGGCCAAACTGGATTCTTAGGCTTAGCAGAGCCACGGTGCACACAGCTCATAGACATATATAATCTCGGTATACCAAGAACTCTCTTCTGAAGACAGATTGTTATTTTAAAGCCTTTAAAAAATAAAATAAAATAAATAGTAGTGAAGAGGAATGTGTGGATGCAGGTGAAAATCCAACACACTCGGGGTAAAAGAAATGTTCATAAAGTTTCACATAAACAATACTTCATATCTGACGTAACAGTGTACTTTTGGGTTCTTCTTATAAGTTATTTTTCATTATTCAGTATTTGACACCAGGACTGTTAACATGGGCATAGTAATTCATATACCTAACAATGATGGGTTTCTACCTCATGTGGTCCTGGCACAGAGCCTGGGAACATCAAGTCAGCTATGCTATGTTCTAGTCCCGAAAGTTGCCCCTAATTCAATGGGGGAAATAAATAGTACATACCTGCTTTAATAGTTGTTTAGACAGAGCACCATAGCGACCTATATGAGGAAATCACTGCTGGGGAGTCTAAGCATTCTTCACACATCCACAGGGATGGCCTGTATCTTCATCTATATATGGTTTCCACCACTGCCTATTGAACCACTGCTTCTAAATATTTCTTTTTTGCTCTGACCCTCTTGAGTTCAGATACAAATATTAAATGCTCTGGTACATCTCTACCTCAAGTCTCACAGGCGAAATTCAAATTACTAAAAGTTTGTCCCTACCAGATAGGAAGGCTTACTCATTTGAGTGAAATAGAATGCAAGGAAAACATTCAAAGCTGTGCTATCAAACACGTGAGACAGCCATCTGTGGTTTCAAGTGGAAGATTTTCCTTATTCATGCCTTTGTAGTCAAGGAGGACACTTTTGGTAAAGAGACTTGAACAATGGCTTTCTTGTGACAGGGTTTGAATAATTGGGGATCTACTTTTACTTGGAGTTTGTTCTTACAGGAAAAAGGAGTATTGAATGGTAGATTTGATTTCAAAAGAGGATATAATGGAGACAGCATTTGCTGGAGCCTTCCCACTCGCTGGTCTGAGTCAGTATTCTTCCATACTCCCACAGAGCCTCACTGCTGTTCCTGTCCACTGAGGTACATCTTTCTTTTTTCCTGTATATTCCTTTCCTGAAAATATATTTTGTTTGAAAGATATTTTTTTCAAATAAGTGGAAGTTTATTTTTCATTGACTTATTTCCACCTAAGACCCAGTCTAGGGAGTGAAAATCAATACTCTATTGGCCTACCTATTTATCTGACTCAGAGTGACCAGATAATTTAAAATAAAATGTTTCTTTGACAATATCACACTGTTTACTTCAACCCACCAAAAATTTATGAGTAATAACATACTATCTGAATAATAAATATTATTATGAGGTATCTCAGTTTTAAGCATATTCTTTTTTT